TGGGGAAAAAAGAGGAACAACCTGTATAATCTGAACAATAAAGATTAATTTAAAAAAAAAAAGGAGAAGATTTTAGTAGACCTTTCATAGAAATAGTAAGCCTTATTTAAAGTGGATTGCAAATTGTTATACACAGAAGATGTTGTAAAGTTTACTTAAAACAAATTCCAAAAATGTCCATCCATGTGTCACAAATTATAGGATGCCTTCTTTTTTATGACTGAATAATATTCCATTGTGTGTGTGCGCGCGCGCGCGTGTGTGCGCACGTGTGTGCGCACGTGTGTGTGTGAGAGAGAGAGAGAGAGAGAGAGAGAGAGAGAGAGAGAGATTGATTGTCTTTATTCATCTCTCTATAAATACTTAGGTTGTTTCCATGTCTTGACTATTATGAATAATGCTGCAGTGAACATAGAGGTGCAGATACCTCTTTTTGAGATAGTGATTTTATTTCCTTAGGATATATAGCCAGAATTAAGATTGCTGGATCATGTGGTAGTTTGATATTTAGTTTTTTAAAAATATGTTTTTATTGATTTGAGAGAGAGAGAGAGAGAGAGAGAGAAAGACATCAATGAAGAGAGAGAACATTGATTGGCTGCCTCCTGCACACCCACTACTGGAGATTGAGTCTGCAAACTTGGCATGTGCCATGACCAGGAATTGAACTGTGACCTCCTGTTTAATTGGTTGATGCTCAACCACTGACCCAAACTGGCTGGGCTATATTTAATTTTTTGAGGCCCCTCCATACCCTTTTCCATAGTAGCTGCACCAATTTACATGCCCACATCTCTGTGTCTTAGTTTGTGTTGCTCTAACAAAATACCACAGACTGGGTGGCTTATAAACAACAGAAATTTTATTTCTTACAGTTCTTGAAGCTGGGAAGTCCAATATCATAGCACTGGCAGATTATGTGTGGTGGTTGTTGAGGACCCACTTCCTGATTCATAGATGGGCACCTTCTTGTTGTGTTCTTACATGGTGGAAGGGTCTAGGACTCTCTGTAGGTTCTCTTTTATAAGAACACTAATCTCATGCATGAGGGCTCCACTCTCATGACCTAGGCACCTCCTAAAGGTTCCACATCCTAATACCATCATCTTTAGGGTTTAGGATTTCAATATATGATTTTGAGGATATACCAAAATTCAGATTATAGCACCCTACATCCAACTATCAGTATTTCTTTAGTCTACTTTTTAAAAATTGTTGTTAATCCTCACCTGAGGATATTTTCCCATTGATTTTTAGAGAGAGTGGAAGGGAGGGGATAGACCAGCCGTGGGCAAACTACGGCCCGCGGGCCAGATTCGGCCCATTTGAAATGAATAAAACTAAAAAAAAAAAAAAAGACCGTACCCTTTTATGTAATGACGTTTACTTTGAATTTATATTAGTTCACACAAACACTCCATCCATGCTTTTGTTCCGGCCCTCCGGTCCAGTTTAAGAACCCATTGTGGCCCTCGAGTCAAAAAGTTTGCCCACCCCTGGGATAGACAGAGAGAAACATCAAAGTGAGGGAGACCCATCGATTGGAATCGGACCTGGGACTCTTTGAGTCTGTGATGGAACCAGCTAGGGTTGACTACTACTTGTTGGGAGTGGGAGTGGTTTCAGTGGTTCTTAGAGGTTCTGCACAGAGAGGGCAATTCTCTTTGCAGTTCAGCTGTTATGAAGTGTAAGGCTTTGTACTTAACTAGCAGCTTAAAAATAGCATTTCAAGTACTTACCAAGAACTAGTATCTAAAACATATTGTCCATGACTTTGTTCTTATATAAATGGATTGTTCTACTTAAAATCATTCTGTATTATCCTGTCCTAAAATCCACAGACAGGGTGTCATTCCTGAACTCTATTCCATTTCTACTTCTGTAAAATTTTTACTGAACTATGAATTAATGTGAGTCTGCTGATTTTTCCCCCATAATATATTTGAGAAACAGTCCTGAGGAAATTGCAGTGGTTTATAGTTTCTGCTGGCCTCTTGCAAAGTTAAAGAAAGAAACTTGAAATCCAAGTCTGATTTGTTTCTTCATGTTGTGCTTGGTAGCTTTTAGGTGACTGATATAAAATAAATTACTATCTCTGTAGGAAAACAACAGTCAACTTGAGCATTGTTTAACAAATGTTTAGAGCTGAGCCAATTTTTTTTGGTCCTATCTTTTGTTATGAATAAGTAAATAAAAATAAGTGTGGCAGATTGACACTTCAAAAGTTATCTAGGAACACCGAAACCACATCAGTGTTTGTGCTTTTAAATAATCAAATACTTGAATTTTTTTTCTCTTTCAGTTCCTGGAATAGATGGAGGTGCTTTAACTGATACCAGTCTCACAGATTCCTATTTCAGCACCAGCTTTATAGGAGTCAATGGATTTGGAAGCCCTGTAGAAACAAAGTATCCCTTGCTGCAGGTATCATTAGTATGAGTTTAAACAATGAAGTTTATTCTGAGGGTGGAGAGCATCTAGAGCAGTGGTTCCCAACCTTTCTTTGGCCATGCCCCACCTAAGCATAAAATCCTGATATGTCCCCTCCCGCCATGACATATAATTCTTATTATTCAAAAAGTGAACTCCTATTCATGTGGAGGAAGCTAAAAGGCCATTAACTTGGTCTAAACTAGCTTCCAAAGAACATGGCATCCAGGAAAGAGAAAAATAAAAGAACGAAAGGACAGTTGAAGTACTGAGGAAGAAATCACTAAGAAATTGTTAAAAAAATGTGAAGTGGCCCTAACCGGTTTTGCTCAGTAGATAGAGCGTCGGCCTGCGGACTCAAGGGTCCCAGGTTCGATTCCGGTCAAGGGCATGTACCTTGGTTGCGGGCACATACCCAGTAGGGAGTGTGCAGGAGGCAGCTGATCAATGTTTTTCTCTCATCGATGTTTCTAACTCTCTATCCCTCTCCCTTCCTCTCTGTAAAAAATCAATAAAATATATTTTTTAAAAAATGTAAAGTGATATGAAAAAATAGCAAATAAAGTTTAAAACATAATAGAGAACTGAAATGCATAAATATATTACAATATATTTATATACTGTATATGAGGCCCTTAGAACCATAAGAAATTTTAAAAAATTCACTGTTAATTCATTCTTGGATTATCCCCCTTAAAAATCAAATTGCACCCATGTGACATGTGTCCCATGTGGGAACCACTGATCTAAAGTCTTAATTTATTCCTAAATTTATTTATCAGGAGGGGGTGGGATTTAAGATAATGAAGTAGTTGGGATATAGTTAAGGCATCTTATCTCCTAGTAGGTTTGGAGTCAGAGTGAGCTTTCAATGGTGGGGTTAGGGTTGGGACAACCATGGAGTATTTAGAGATAGATAGGAAGAAACTAGTTTCACTCCTCTGTCTGTTTTGTGGTTGTGGAATGAAGGCCTTTCATGATGGAGAGACACACCATAGAGATTATGGAGTGTGTTGAGAAACCATGAAACACATTTAGAGAACAGTGAATAGCCTAATTTTATAGAGTCTCTAAGGTAAACAAAGGATAATATACATTGGGAGAAGATATTAGAGAGCGTTTCTCGACTTTATATGTAGTCACTTTACATCTTGAATGGATATTGGAATTTAAATTTTATGGACAAGGAAATTTAGTAGTTATATGTGTCTTGTCCAGGCTGACAAATTAATAGAAGTGCATTCAAAATAGGTCTCCAGCTTTGGTTTTAAACACCTGACTAGTGAGTAAAATTTTCATTTGCTGTGTTATGCAGAGTGTTTGGAAGTTTTTGCATAGATTATTGTAATCTAAGCAGCAGTGATTAGAGTATTAGTAATGTGAAAGATGGATAGGAGGGGAAGAAGCAAAGAAAGTCTTAATTGGTTGAATATTCTTAATTCTAGTGATATTATGTACCTATGTTTTCTTTTTCAGAGAATGACTAATAGTAGCAGCTCCCCAAGCCTTCTAAATGACAGTGCCAAGCCATATGCAGGCCATGGTAAGGCTTGGTTCCTTTTCCTCTCTTATATGTATGTTTCTGACTCTAAAAACAATATGTCCATTGTAGAAATTTTGAAAGTTATGGACAGGTATAAGGAAGAAAGTAAAAAAATGATCTATTATTTCATATTCAGGAACTATTAAAATTTGTATTACTCATATATACATAATACATAGCAGTACTTAAGTATATACATTATAATACTTAATTTCAAGATCACATTAAATATATTTTAATGAATATTTCTTGATCATTATAAACTGAATTCTGTTATTTCTCTTAATAATTTTCTGAACTATTTTTGTTTTTATTCTTTTAAAAAAACAATTATACTTCAAATCTGTGTTCATATTTTGAGTTATTTGCTTTGGGAACATTCTTAGATATGGAATTACTGTTTCAAAGATTATGGACATTTTTAAGGCTTTTGATATAGAAGTTCCAGATATATTTCTGTATCCTTTAAAAAAAATAAATATTCAAGGATTTTTTGGGGTGGGAGGCGTTGTTAATCTTCATTGGAGGATTTTTTTCCCATTGCTTTTTAGAGAGAGTGGAAGGGAGGGATGAAGAGTGGGAGAAAGAGAGAAACATCAGTGTGAGAGAGACACATTAATTGGCTGTCTCTCACATGCGCCTGGACTGGGGCTGGGATCGAACCTGAGATTCTTCGGTACAACAACGGACCCACACTGGCCAGGCCAAAGGATGATTTAAAAAAAAAAAAAAAGCAACAATTGAGTATTAAGACTGCATCAGTAAAATGTTAACAGTTATTAATAATGGTGACAATAAGAATTTGCATGTGGATTATTTCCTTTTTATTTTTTGGTTAATCCTTACCAGAGGATATTTTTCCATTGATTTTTAGAGAGAGTGGAAGGGAGTGGGAGAGACAGAGAGAGAAAAACATTAATGTGAGAGACATATCGATTGGTTGCCTCCCGCACATACCCAGGGGAATGAGCCTGCAACCGAGGTATCTGCCCTTAACTGAAATTGAACCCAGGACCCTTCAGGCCATGCATGGGCTGATGCTCTATCCACTGAGCCAAACCGGTTTCGGCATGATCTCTTTTTTTATATTTTATTCAATAAATGTTCACTTAAAGTCCCTAATTTAATGAGAAACTTAAGATTAACTTAAAGCTCAGAAACGAAGATAAATATTTTAATGTATATTATGCACACCTTTTCAGAAATTTCTGATTTGTTAAGTGAAAAACAATTTAGACTTACACTTTTGTTTATAACTTCTGACCATAGAATAATAGAACTCTGAATCTATAAAATCTTTGGATTGCTTTCTTTCTTTCTTTCTTTCTTTTTTTTTTTTTTTTATTAAGGTTTTACAAATGTGTCCTCATCCCCCTCCTTAACTCCCCCTCCCCCCCCTGGATTTCATGATTGTGTTTTAAAACTTAATTTACCTTTTTTAGTAAGAATATAAAATATCTGTGATAAACTTAAAAGTGTGGAATATTGTATAGAGTAGATGGTTATGGCCTTGCCTAAGTGTTAAAACCAAGCGTGATCACTCAGAGGGTGACTACCTCTCTCTCACCCCCTTTTTTATTTTTCTCATGATTTGGTCCCTAAATAAACATTTACTACAGGTAGACTTCCTTCATAAACACATTCCTAATAACATGGTTAAAAGTCATCTTTTTTGTTTTCTGTTTGATTTTTCTTATAGTTTTAAGCAAATAGAAGCATCCTAATCTGCGTAGCTTCTTGAATAAATGTGTACTGAGTATTGGCTGAATGCCAATTTGTATTCTCCAATTTGTGTTTCATTCACTCAGAAAATATTTGAATATTCACTGTATTTGAGGCATTGAGTTTAACTGTTAGTGTAGGTTGTGATTTTCATTACTTTTGTGAGCATTGCCAAGTTAAACACTTATTATTAGTCTTGTGGGTTACTGGAGTTATCTGTGTGGAAACTTATGTAACTTACCTTCCAGATCCTCTCACTTCACCTGCTTCATCCTTGTTTAATGACTTTGGTGCCCTCAACATCTCTCAGAGAAGAAAGGTAGGTGAAATTGAAACTTATTTGAAGCAAAATGGAATGTAGAGGTGATATTAGTCATTACCTATATCGTGCAATATTCTTTTAAGTGGGGAGAGGGCTTTTCATGGACTGTAGTATTTTTCTTTCTTTTTGTTTACCCTTTTCTTTGTTATATATCCCCTGTATGTAGAATTTTATTTCATCTGTGTGCATGAAATAGAAACATTTTATGTAAAGGCTTGAAATACTTATTTTTGTATGCATTAAGATACTTTAGTATTCTGTTTTTAAGATAACATCTAATTTAATGTAGTTGCTATCAATGTGACTCATTTTAGGTATAGTGATTATGGTGGTTTTTTCTTCCTTTTATTAAATTTATGGGGTGACATTGGTTAATATGATCATACAGGTTTTAAGTGTGAATTTCTATGTTACAAGATCTGTATATTGCACTGTGTGCTCATCACTCAAAGTCCGATCTTCTTCTGTCACCATATTTGATCATGTTTTAACTTTATTTTCTGACTGCTTTGTCTAACTTTCAAAGATTTCTACCCTAATTTAAACTCCTCCTTACAAGGCAAACTTAAAATCCCTAACTTTTCATAATTGGCCCAACTGTTTAAAAACAGTTTAAATCTCTTAAAAACATGTTGTAAAACTTGGTGGAAATTACTATAAAGTTATAACTAATTCATTTTCCTAAGTAATGAAAGAAAGACCCAGAAGAAGAGAATACTGATTTTAGAAAACATATAAGCTTAAAATGCTTATAGGAAGTATCTGATCAGAGGGTGGTATAAAATGAAATTCAAGAAGATTAGATATTAACAAGATAAAAAATTTGTGAGGTGAGGTATGAATTATGTCAGTACCTCATGTATTTAGTATTATCTTCATTTTGAAACAGTTGAGAACAAGGAGGTAATTAATTACAAAATGCTTTTAAGGATCTGTAATTAATAGACTAAAATGTATGAGTTTGATTTTATAGACTTTCTTATAGGTTTTCACCGGAAACACATTTACTCTTGCCTATGGTGTAAGTGTAATAGAGTTGGATACAAGCAGGCTCATTGGCAGTAATAAGAAGTGACAACAGACAAAGCCAGTCAATATGGAAGGAAACAGTAAAATGCTGAAAAGCAGAAACAACCTAGAAATCAAATTATCTGGACCTATTTAGTGTAGGGGAAACTGAAGTGGTCTTAGGGATCCCTTTAATGGCCTTTTCACATCCTTTTTTTTTTTTTTTAAAATATATTTATTTATTGATTTCAGAGAGGAAGGTAGAGGGAGAGAGAAACATCAATGATGAGAGAGAATCACCGATCAGCTGCCTCCTGCACGCCCCCCACTGAGGATCGTGCCCGCAACCCGGGCATGTGCCCTTGACCGGAACCGAACCCGGGACCCTTCAATCTGCAGGCCGACACTCTATCCACTGAGCCAATCCGAGCTAGAGCCTTTTCACATCCTTGAATTAATAATTGGTTAACTGTGATAAGTAGTGTTTCTGATGTATGAATAGAAGGTTAAAGTAGAATGGCAAATAAATACAAGATTTCTGATATGAGGGTTTGGTGCACTACACACTGTAGTAGAAATATATAATTTAGAGGTACTGATGTTATTTTTGAGAAAATAGTAAAAATTCCTAGAGACTCAAAAAAGGAAGATATAGTGTGCATCCTTTTAAAATTTACTTTAATAAAGGAAAATAATAAAAGGAAACGTTACCATGAATATGACCTCAATATTTGGAGCGATACTAGAATATATCCTAATGGAAACAGATTAATATAGCTGCGATTTTTGAGGTCCTGGATCTCTAGCTTTGTGGCCTTGGGCCAGTTTTCTAGAATATAATCTTCACAACTGTGAAGTGATGAGCATGGCCTGGATAATTGCTTTCTTTCATCTCTAAAATTCAATGTCTGTCCAAACTGAAAGGACCTATGTGTCAGTTTCTACTTAGAAATTTATAGTTCACAGAGTATATCTTAGAAGGACCATATTTTCTTGCCATTTACATTTAAAATAATATGTAGGGACATAGATTTTTTTTCAATAGTGGGCTATATATACTTAGTAATCTGAGAGTGCAGGTTGCATATATTTTGAAATTATTAATGGTTGAGTTTAGAAGGTTTAAAATCTCTATATTAGAAATACTCTTGGCATTAGGTATTGCATGGCACACACTGAATTGAAGGCATATGGAGACTGTCTATTTTGTTATAGTAATTCATCATATATATTTAATGATGTAATTTTAGTGGAAGTAATTCAAATTTGTGTAAATATTTAATTATAATTCCATGTTGATCTAAGCAGGCTATCATGATTGCTTAGTGACATTTTTATTTCATAATGGTATTGGAGAACAGGTACTTAGGCCATAGTTACTAATATTTGAAAGCTAGTTAGGTAAATTATTTTCTGAAAGTCTCAGTTGGGTGAGTCCCTAGTGTTGCTTTTTCTTTGCCTGTCAGAGTGTGAATTATTGGGATCAGATTAGTTAAGTATTTTTACTGTAGGCAGTCTTATATGAGCTATGTGCAGAATTTAAGGATGGATTGATATTTTTCCTGCTTGATAATATAGCAATATCCAGTTATGTGATCTTTTTTTCTAGCAATTCATCTTTATTTTATCAAAGTATTGGATCATGATATATAGGAAAATTTTAAAAATACGATATTTCACAATGTATTGGAAGCAGTAATTTTTTTCATTTTTCACTTTAGGAATACATACTTTTATAGATAGAACAAATGACAATTATTTAAAAACTAGAGGCCCAGTGCACGAAATTTGTGCACTGGGGCGGGTGGGTGTGTGTGTGTGTGTGTGTGTGTGTGTGTCCCTCAGCCCAGCCTGCACCCTGTACAATCTGGGACCCCTCGAGGGACGTCCGACTGCCCATTTAGGCCCAATCCCAGCCGCTTGCCTGCCTGCCTGCCTGATTGCCCCTAACTGCTTCTGCCTGCCAGCATGATCACCCCCTATCCACTCACCTGCCAGCCTGATCAACGCCTAACTGCTCCCCTGTAGGCCCGATTGCCCCTAATTGTCCTCCCGGCAGGCCTGGTCGCCTCCAACTGCCCTCCCCTGCAGGCCTGATCACTCCTAACTGTCCTCCCCTGCAGGCCTGCTTGCCCCTAATTGTCCTCCCCTGCAGGCCTAGTCGCCCCCAATTGCCCGCCCCTGCAGGCCTGGTCACC